AAGGTCCCAATCATCTGGCTTCTCTTCTGCTGTTGGTGCATTTTGAATTATGCTTGGTAGTCTATTTATACCATATATTAGGGCCCTTAAGTTTGACCCTAAATTTTCCTTGAGAAACTGTATAGTTCTAGGTATATGGTATGCTTTTGAGAACACATTGCAATATGGATGTATTCAAACCCATGTGAACTAAGAATAATTAGAAGAAATGACTGCATTTTCTATATCTTTATATCTTCCGCTTATTAAGATATGACTATATCTTTATCTCAAAAAGGTTGCATACATTTTAAAGGAAGCTTATTTTTTAGTTTTTTAGTTAATTCTGTTTGCTCCTAGAAGAGTTGCATTGTGTTCCATGAAGCCTTATTATCAGAGTTAACCAGAGTCAAACAACTAAAAAGAAAAACTCATGGGGACAAAACTTAAAGGGAAAGAGGGTGTCTTACCTAGTAGAGTAACTTTTATTGAATTTGGAAAAAACTGTTTGATTGTAAATGTATGAACTCTTGAGACCCCCTCGTGGGTATGTGGTGTTTCCTGAGGGCGTGTTTGGAGAATCACTGTTCAGAGTGTAGGATGCATAGAGGGATGTTCTTGGAAGATGCTCATGGGGTTCCACGCCCTACCCACCTCCTCACCACAGCAGCTTCATGTTTCTGTTTTAAACTTTTAGATGTGAAGCATGAAAAAGGGTTATGTTGCCTAAACATAAGTATGAAAACCATTATTCTAGAAATCACGGTATTTTCCCATATAACTTGTCCACATAAATAACATGCACATGCATATTACCTACACAGCACATAAGAAACTGACACGTGAAGGGGTTACATGGTTCGCAAAAAAACCTGAAACGTGTAACACGTCATTTGTGTAAAAATACAGTACTTTTTCTTCTCATCATTCTTATCAACTAAAAAAAAATACTTGTTTTTCCCATTCTGTTTGAGAGCCTTTTAGGTCATTGAACCACACCAAAAAATTTTCGGTGACTTTCTGTTGAGCATATTTGGAGAGACTATCACTGTATGTTGGCTAGTATTTGTCTGCTTTTGTTTGTCTTTGCTACTCTCTGGCATGCTTTAAATTATTGTTGTTAATTGCCCTTGAGTTGATTCTGACTCATAGCAACTTGAAATTAGAAGACCTTTTAAAAGTCTTAACTATGTTAACTTTAATAGAAATCCCACTATATAAACTCTGGTTTATAAATCCTGTTTGTTTTGTTTTATAAATACACACTCATTTTCCTTAATGGAATTTCCATTCATAAGCTTATATTCATTTTCAGCATTGTGGTTAAAGAAAAGAAACATTTTCTAGGCTGGGAGGTGCTAAAAATTAAATGCATCATCTCACTCAGTTTTACATTCCCAGACTGGCTCAAGTCCATCTTGATAAGTGGCACCTTGGATGTTGGGCGGTGTGCTGTGAAATGGAGGTAGCCAGTGGCCCTGAGAGGGAAACATCTTCCTCATCTCTCTTAATGAAGTTCATATCACCTAAAGCTGTTAGGTGTCGTCAGCTGGATTTTCACCTCATAGTGACCCCATGTGATAAGAGTGGAACACAGGGTTTTCTTGGTTAAATCTTTGTGGAAGCAGATCACCAGGTCTTTTCTCCCGTGGAGCCACTGGGGGTCCAAACGGCCAACCTTTTGACAGTCGAGTGCTTAACCATTATGTCACCATGGCTTCTCCCCTAAACTTTTAGAGTAGTTGACTGCTCTGAAAGGAACAACAATAGAAAGTCCTGGATAGAGTGGGAGAAAAATGTGGAACAAAATTCAGTATCTTAAAAGACCAGGCCCTGGTCAGATAAGAGAGTGTTGGAACCCTTGGGACTATGGCCTTGCATTCACTGTAGACCCAGGAGGGAGTCCAAGATGGTCTTAAAGCCTGGAGCTGAACTCTCCCACCCCCGTGACTCAACTTTCAGCCCAATAATAGACAAGTCTATATATAAGGTGAACAGTAACACCAAGGTCCTCCTTAGAGCAATCCCCCATTGCAGATCAAAAGGGCAGCATTTGCCCAAAGTTTAGAAAGCAGGAAGGGATAGGAAAGAAGGAATGATTGGGATTATTGCTGTTACATTCTGGGGATTGCAATCAGTAGCATGAAACAAAATGTGTCTATGTTGAATGGAAAACTGATATGTTCTGTAAACTTTTATCCAGAGCACATTAAAAAGTTAAAAATTTGAAGGTAGTGGTACAGGTGATGAGTCCTGATCCTCAGGAATCTTTTTTTGTTTTAACATTTTATTGCACTTTAGGTGAAAGTTTACGAAGAAAATTAGTTTTCCATTTAGTTGATCATGCACAGATTGTTCCATTTCACTGGTTGTGACCTCCGCAATGTGTCAGCACCCTTCCCATTTCCACCCTGAGTTCCTGCTTTTCATTTGTCTAGGTCCCCTACCCCTCCCTACCTTCCCATTTTTGCTTTTAGGCAGATGTTGCCTTTTTGGTGGTGATGTTTATTTTATAGGCCAGTCTGTTATTTGGTTGAAAGGTGGACTCAGAGAGTGGCTTCAGTTCTAATTGAGCAGGTTGTCTTAGGGCAGTATTCTCAGGGTTTCTTCCAGTTTCCATCATACCAGTAAGAGTGGTCTTTTTTTATGAATTTGAATTGGGTTCTACATTTTTCAACCACCCTAACCAGGATCTTTTATTATGTTCCTGTTCGGAGCGGTCAGTAGTGGTAGCCAGGCACCATCTAGTTCTTCTGGTCCCAGGTTAGAGGAGGCTGTGGTTCGTGTGGGCTATTAGTCTTTGGACTAATTGCTTCCTGGAGTCTTAGGTTTTCTTCCTTCTCCTTTGCTCCAGATGATAAGAGACCAATAGTTGTATCTTAGATGACCACTTGCAAGCTTTTAGGACCCCAGATGCTACTGACCAAAGTAGGATGTTGAATGTTATGTTTATGAACTATGTTATGCTGGTTAACCTAGATGTTCCCCAAGTCTAGATCCTTAGCCTTCAAATCCAGTAGCTCAGTACTGCAAGGTGTTTGGTTATGTCTAAGAAGTTTCCCTAACCATGCTCCTTATGTGCTCTACTATATATATGGATGTACATGCAGTGCTTGCAAATACGTATGTAGAAATATCCACAACCATACCTATATATGCACACGAGTATATTCTCAATACGACCTCCCATACCTATTGTTGTTAGGTGCCATTGAGTCGGCTCTAACTCATGGTGACCCTGTGTACAACAGAACGAAACACTGCCCAGTCTCATGCCACTCTCAGAATCGTTGCTATATTTGAGCCCATTGTTGTAGCCACTGTGTCACTCCATCTCATTGAGGGCCTTCCCCTTTCTTGCTGACCCTCCACTTTACCAAGCATGATGCCCTTCTCCAGGGAATGGCCCCCTCTGACAGCATGAACAAAGTAGGTGAGATGAAGTCTAGCCATTCTCACTTCCAAGGAGCATTCTGGCTGTAGTTCTTCCAGGACAGACTTGTTCGTTCTTTGGGCAGCCCATGGTACTTTCAGTATTCCACTCACAAATTATTGTTTGTTGTTAGTGTTGTTGCAGGGTTGCATGCATTGTAGAATTTACCGTAATTGTCCTTCATTTTCTGTGCTTCTCGGTGTCTTCCTTTGCTTGGTCACGTGGTGCTGACTTTGCCCATATTGTCGGAATTGATTTTTTAATGTTTAAATATTTCACGTGATTTTAATTTCACTTTTTAAAATAACTTACTGATTACAAAAGTAACACCTATTCATAGAGAAATATAAAAATCTAGTACAGCACAAAGAAGATAATTAAAGTCACTCACATCTTAACTACTGGATGATAAAAATTGAATAATTTTCAGAGAAATGATGCTGATTAGGTTTATCAACATTTCTAGACTAACTTCCACAGTACACACTTGAGATGTGCACCGTGTGTGTAATTGAGTATCTAGATGGGGTCCCTCTATGAGTTGGAATCTGCTTGATGGCAGTGGGTTAAAGGGCAGGATAGGAGAGTTATAAATGAGTCATGGTGGCAAATGACTCATGCTTCCTTCACTTGCAGTGTTATATGTATGTTTGTGGTAGAAAGAATGTAGGCTCTGAAGACTGAGTGCCTCTCGTGGCTCAGGCATTGATCGAGGTGCTGGAATACAGTGCTCAGGCCAGATTTGCCTTTGTGAAGCTTTACTTCAAAAATTCTGACATATGTGCAGATCGCTCCATGTGTCTCTCAGCTGCCTCACTTGCAGAGTGAACATACTAATGTTTACCTTGCAGATTTGTTGTGAGATTAGATGGAACATCTGCAGTGGCTAGCATAAATAGATACTCTTATCACCTCTTCCTCCTTGCCAAATCATTGTAGACAGGACTAGACAGCAGATTGCTAAGACTATTGGAACAAGTTAAACAAAGCAGCACTTACTCACACTTCCCCTGAAGCAAGTTAAATATTTGACATACAAATTGCCTGTAGCATAAGAGTTAACAGAAAGAGCAAACCTGCAGTCCTTAGTGAAGACAGTCTGGTGTGGGTATTAGTAGACTATATAGAAAGTATGGACTTCACATGCTCTCTGCAAAGGCTACTTCTTCACAGCTCCAGTGAATTTTGTTAAAGCAAGAGTACAGTGGTTTTCTTTCATAAATACAATCTTTTGATTGTATGCTTTGTTTCAGAATATAATGAAGTACATTAAATAGTGAAGTAGCTTTAAGCAGTTGTTTCAAACAAAACCAAAGGACATACCTTGAAATATGTCTTCAGTGACATTGGAAACACTTCATAGACTAAAAAATTCAAAGTGAAAATCCATGATTTAAAGAAATCATTGTATGTTTAATTCCTTTCTTCCATCTGGTCAGTATTTGAAGCCCTTTTTCAGCAAGTAAGTCATAATTAACTATTAAATTTTAGAAAGCTGATTTTCAGAATTCGGATTTTTATGGTTCTGTGCTAAGAACAGAATTAAATTATTAAATAGACAGGTGCAAACAAGAATTTCTTCTTTAATCTGCCAGTAACAAGCGTCTGTGGAAAGTCTGCTCTGTGCCTGATACTGTACTGGGCTCTTTCGGGACATAGAGGAGTGTGAGAGGCACCCAGGGACCCCAGTGTCTCAGTGGGAATGAGGAATCTCCAGAGAGCACTGGCATTGGCTTGCCTAACCGATATGTACCAGCTACCTGAGATAAATTATTAGACTTGTACATATTTGGGAATCCCTAGACGGGCACAAATGATTAAGCTCTGGATTACTAGCCAGAAGGAGTTCAGACCCACAGAGAGGCACCTCAGAAGACAGGCCTGGTGATGTGCTTCTGAAAGGTCACAGGCTTGAAAACCCTGTGGAGTTTTCTGCACCTTATTCTGCACATGTGGGGTCACCATGAGTTAGATTTGGCTCTACAGCAACTAAACAACAACCATACTGCAAGGTACATTCCGCTAAGTGTAAACGGAGGAGTAATTTGCAGAGTAAATAATTTGTAATATCTTTGTTTCTTTAGGGCTCTGGAACTTCATCCGTTCTCAATCAAACCTCTTCTGCGACGAGCAATGGCCTATGAAACTTTAGAGCAGTATCGGAAAGCGTATGTGGATTACAAAACAGTGTTGCAGATAGATTGTGGAATCCAGATAGCAAATGACAGTATTAACAGGTAACGTCACCTGAGCCAGCCAATGAAGGGCTGCTTATTTTGTAATGGAGTTAGATTTTTTTCTCCTTCACGTTCAAGAAAGATGTCTAACTGTAAACATGTCAGTTCTGTATTTTATATGAATGATTGCCTTCTTTTTACACCATTAAAGCTAAGTGGTTCTCTCTCTCCAACTTAATTTCTAACTGTCCTTTAATACATTTTGAGTTGTTCTCTCACTGCTTCATATTGTTTGCTCTCTGGTCCATTTCTTACCACATTCAGTGAATGTTCTTTTTTTTTTTTTTTTAACAACACAGGTGTAACTCATATCTCGTGCTCAGAATGTACAGATATAATTTAAAGTTTGTATATGTCTGTGGGGTTAGGAAAGTGTTTTCATTGATGTCATAAATCAGTATTAATTATAGGATTAGATCCAAAAATGTAGTGAAAAGTGCCATTTTGAATCTTCTGTTAACAGTCTTTGCAGATGTCTGTAGATGTGTCATTGGAAGCGTATCTGTTGCTTCTCCTCAGGAGAACAGATGTCTTCATGAGCCTTCCAGATATTTGTGTTATATGCCCTTGTAAATAGACACTCACCTATGATAAGTATTAATTTATAATGCTGAAATGGCAAGGAGTTTGGACCTAATTATGACCTATTTACCCCTTGAGTGAGAATGGGAAGGTAAAAATTTTCCGACTTCCTAAGTTGCTTTCAGGTGGAATATGGAAAGTCCTAGTTGGATAACATTTCCAGTTACGTATAATACTGTCTGATCCCATTCTGCCCAGAGCATAGTCTCAAGTATTTAAGTGCTACACTGTGCTAATGCTGGCCTACTGCACCATGTTCCACTTTCCCCAAAAAAGGGGGGAAAATGACATGGTCTCTGTCGTAAGCTGACTCAAATCTAACTGGGGTGGTTTGGGGTGGTGCGGTGGATAACTTAACACAAGACAGATTTTCCCAAGTATGAGATGATAAGACAGTAAGCTTGGTGGCGGTGGTGGAGAGTTCAGGCCACCTTTTTTATAATTACCAAAGATCAGATATTGACTTTCCATTGTAAGAAACTATAGGGAAAGTCTGTGTGTTCTATTTGTGTGGGGTATGGCTGTTTGGAATGTCTTCCTAGTTAGAGAACACTTGAGATGGTCTTTGAAAGACGCTGATAGAAAGTGGCTGATAGAAAGCGAGGGGACCTTGAGCAAAATTATCGAAAATGAGAATGGGCATATTTTGGATGAATCTCTTTTTAAATCATGTCTTACCTCTGCACATGGTCCTGGCCTGTTGTAGGCAAAACAGAGCAGACAGCATCCACTTTGTGGTCCTGTGGAACCTGTCGAGTCCCAGCCTGAGCAGAAGAAGGAGGGATATATATTGTCTATATGTGGCAGCGTGGACTAGCTCAAACCTCAGACATTCACAGCTTCCTTATCTCTAGCTTGTGAAGTGAGGTGATCTTATCTGGTAACTCACCAGGCTCTTTGCTGCACAGGAAAAAAAAAAAAAAAAATCACTCCGTGTGATCTGCTCTTTCTTCATTTGTGCCTCTGTTTTGCATCATTTGTGTCTGTTTCACCCCAAAGAGAAACTCAGTACTCATTAAGCAGTAACTTCTTTCTTCCCTTCCCCTAGCCCTGGGTAACCACTCATCTATGTATTTGCCTATTGTAGATATTTTATGTAAGTGCATATTTGTTCTTTTGTGTCTGGCTTATTTCACTTAGTGTGTTTTCAAGGTCCACCCATGTCACAGCATGTATCAGAACTTCATTTTTTTTCTAGCTGAATAATATTCCATCGTATGTATATACTACATTTTATTTACCCACTTATCTGTTTATAGACAATTGGGTTGTTCCCACCTTTTGGCTCTTCTTAATAGTGCTGGATTGAACATTGGTGTACAGGTATCTGTTTGAGTCCTTTCTCTCAAGTCTTTGGAGTGTACACCTACGAGTGGAATTGCTGATTGATACAGTAATTCTACGTTTAACTTTTTAAGGAACTGCCAAAGTGTTTTCCACTGCAGTGCCACCATTTTGCATTCCCGCTAGCAATGGATGAGGTTCTAATGCTCTACATGCTACGTCTGTTATTTGCCGTTTTTCTGATCATCGGCATCCTGGTGAGTGTGAATAATATCTCATTGTGGTTTTGAGTTAAATTTCCCTAACAGCTAATGATATTGAGCATTTTTTCACATGCCTATTGCTCATTTGTATATCTTCTTTGGAGAAATGTCTGTTCACATCCTTGGCCTGTTTTTAATTGGGTTGTTTAACTTTTTGTTATTGAGTTGTAGGGGTTCTTTACATACTTGGGATATTAAACCTTTATTAGCTGCATGGTTTCTAAATATTTTACCCATTTTTTTAGGTTTTCTTTTCATTTTCTTGATAATGTCCTTTGATTCACAAGAAACTTTAATTTTAATGCAATCCAGTTTGTTTTATCTTTTGTTATTCCTGTTTTTGGTGAAATGGGAGTTTGGTGAATATCTAAGTATCTATTGCCAAAAACAAAGTCCTGAAGCTTTACCCCTGTGTTTTCTTCTGAAAAACCAAAGATGTGAGAATTATGGTTTTAGTTCTTATATTTAGGTCTTTGATTCATTTTGAGTTAATTCTGGTATATTGTATGAAGTGTATGGTATATGGTCATGTATGGTCTCTCTCTCTTTAAAATTCTTTCTCTCTTGGTATTTCTTGAAGGAATTATGGTTTACCAAACATCTTTGTAGCTCCAGTGCCCCATATAGTAGATATCTTCAATAAAAATGTGTTCTTCAACATAATAGTTCCCTCATATGCTTAAGGGCTTTGCTTTTAATCTGTCCCATTCTCTACCTGGCAAAAAAACCAAAAAAAACTTAACTTACTGCCATCAAGTTGATTCTGACTCTGGTGACGACTCCTTAGATTTCTGAGGCAGTATCTCTATGGAAGTAGATTGCCCAGTCTTCCTTTTGAGGAGTGGCTGGTGGGTTTGAACCGCCAGCCTTCTGGTTAGCAGTCAGATGCCTTATGCACTACTCTACCAGAGCTCTGCCTGGTAGTTCCCAAGATATTCAGGTAAAGTAGGATCTTCACACACACGGTTAAAGGTTCTCTTGCAATAAAGTGCGAAGACACCTGAAGAGTATCTGACATAGAGGGACCTGGTACAAAGGTTTTAGGAAATGGAGTTTACTGGGAATAGGTTGGACGGCTACAAGGGAAAAATAGCATGACTAAGAGACCATGATTATTCACCTCTACAGCTTCTGTATTACGCTTTTTATATGTACTTAACCTGGTTCTTTCAGACAGATTGACTTTTAAGAGTCAGCCTTTTTTAATTGAATCATTGTTGTTGATATTCATCTGAAGGGAAGATAAGGAAGCTTATGCAAATTTTGCCATATATGCTTTTTCATAAATAACTATTTTTAAAAATTTTTTTAAAACTTTTCCTTTTTGTGAATCTCATATTTGCTTTTCCATCTATTCCTAGTTTGTTGTGGAAAATTAAAGAGCAGCGGCTTACTATTATTATTATTTTATTTAAACATTGGTGCTTATTTTGTTTTCTTTCTTCCATTAACCATATTCCTTTCTTCCTCTCCAGGAACTTATATGTTAAATTCCCCTGCACATACTTATTTACTCCCTGGCAACACATCATCTCTTTTCAGCTGCTTCTTCCTTCCTCTCTGCTGGTAATACAAGTTGTGCTTGAAAATTCTTTTCCTAAAGCTTCTTTTTCTTCTACAGCTATGGATAGTTATACATTAATTTCCAGATTTATCTTTAGCTAAAATAAGATGAGATTTGGTTATCATAATCAAAGATCAGATATTCACATTTCACTGAGAAACTGTAGGGAAAGTATACGTATTACATTAGTCTCTATATAAATACAAAAATTTCTCCCTCAAAGAGTGTAGGAAACTCCTGAGGTAACTAAGTTGAGTGCATTCTACTAATTACCAGTGAACCTTCTCAGTCTTCAGAAACACCTTTTTTTTTTTTTTTTTTAACCAGATTCATCCCAAAGACATAGTTCAATTTTGTTTTTAAATGTAAGTATGACATTTTAAGTTTAAAGTAATGAGAAAGTGATCATTGATTTTAAGTTTAAAGTAATGAGAAAGTGATCAGGATTATATGATGGCCATTAGTAAATGTTGTCAATACACAGGGCCCTGGTAGTGGACTCAATATCCCATTCTTTCATCTTGGTTCACAATGAAACTGGGTTATTTTAGAGATGGAAAGAAAATACAAAGTAAGACTGTCTCAACCACATGTTAATATTTTAACAAAAAGCAGCATGCCACATAACAGCAAACCCCTCTCAGTTATAGCAGTCAGTTTTGTCCACTTGTTTTTTATTTCTTCAATATACAGTTTAGACACAGATATTCTAAAATGCCTTTAATTATTCTCAGTAATGTAATATAGTATCAATTTAATGCTTCTATTAAAATATTAGAGGAGACATTTCTCCTAGACTTCCTAAAGTTTAATTTTATATTTCACTTTTTGAAAAGTTAAGATTTTATTATATTGACATGAATTTTTTTTTTTTTTAGCAAATTAGAAATATCTCCATTTTCTCTTTTAACTAAAAAATGGTTTAAATGTACATAGTGTGTGGCAACTTCTAATCATTCTTTTGAAGGCTTTGTAATCTGTGTGGACAGAAAATTCCTCAAGATTGTATGTTTTCTACAAGGAAGTACACATTTGCATGTTGTTGTTACGTGCTGCTGAGGCAGTCTCACTATGGAAGTAGATTGCCCAGCCTTCCTCCTGAGGAGTGGCTTGTGGGTTTGAACCTCCAGCCTTCTGGTTAGCAGTCAAGTGCCTTAGGCACTATGCTACCAGAGCTTCTACACATTTGCATAGCATTTATAAATCTTACTTTTGATTATGACCTTCAGTGATATAAAAAGCAAACTGCATGATCAATAGAGAAAACTCATTTTCTTTTTAGAATAACAAGACTTTTAATGGATCTGGATGGACCCAACTGGCGAGAGAAGCTGTCACCCATCCCATCTGTGCCCACTTCTGCCCAGTTGCGAGCTTGGCATCCTGCTGCAGAGACAACCTCAGCCCAAGCAGGAGATTCCAGCAGCCATCACCAACCAGACATCCCAGGTGTGGAAGCCTCCACTCGTTTCTTCTGAAGGTTATCTTGAGTCGTGTGTGTGTGCGTGTTTTCACAGTAAAGCAGAAGGATTAGAGCATAAAGTGTGAGTTTACAGGCACCAGACCTGAATTGAACCTTCCTTTAGTATGTAATCTAAGAAGTTGCTTCACATCTCCAGTGTCCTAGAGTATATAACAGGGAGAAAATACTAATAACTATCTCATGGGGTTGTTGTCAAGAATAAATGAAGATATGCATGTAAAATACTTAGTACATTTGCTTACTTTGTAAACCCTGTACCGGTTGCTGTCAAGTCAACTCCATTTGCAGTGCAATGAATTACTTGCTATGGCTTTTCTATCTTTATGTCGTAAGTCATAAGTCTTTATGACTTCCACCAGATTACTGGGTGGGACCATGCAAATAAGGTGTATGGAACTCTAGAGTAGAGTATTGGTTAGTTTTGCTATGCTGCTGGGCTTAAAATGAGCCCTCTTAGAGGTGAAAGAGGGAATTTCACTGCCATCAAGAGAAGAGCTGGTGTAGGAGTGGAACATGTCCTTGGACCTGAGATACCTGCGCAGGACCTTCTTGGCAGAGACGCTTGGCTGAGAGATGATGGCAATGGAACCAAGAGGCACGAGACAGAGCAGCGGGCCTTCTAGCCCGTGGAGGGAGAAAGCTGAGTGCCCTTGGGCAGGAGGCTTGCTGTTGATACTGGGTGCACGTAGGTGTAGCTGTCGGCAAAGCTAAAAGCTTTGTAACACACTTGGCCAAGCAAGGCAGAGGCCAAACTGAGGCCAGGGGCCTGAGGGCATGCGTGAGGGCATAGGGGAGACTCCTGATTGAAGATTGTATCCTGAGCAGATTCCTGAACTTGAGTTGCAGTCTGTTACTTTCCTAATAAACCTCATAATTATGAGGATTGTCTGTGAGTTCTGTGTGGCCACTGCAATGAATTATCAAACATAGCAGAGTAGCAGTGAGTGCCATGGGAAGGATGAGTGGTGTTGGAATTGGTAAAAAGGCTGGTGGGGGGTGGCATGTCTAAGCCTTGTGCTGCTGATGGTGATTCTCTCCCCCTCTTGAAGTTGAAGGAGATCAGAGGATGGCTCCTGCGTACCCTTTTTGTACCATCTCATGGCAGCCCTGAGTGTGTCAGAGTAGAACTGTGCTCCACGGGGCTTTCAATGGCTGCTTTTATGGAAGCAGATCACCAGGCCTTTCTTCCAGGGGTCCTTTGGGTGGACTTCAATTGCCAGCCTATGTTAGCAGTATTATTAATAATAATAGACTATTGATGTTGCAAGGCTAAAGTAATATAATCAATGTATTTTAAATGACAGTAAAACACCCCACAACATAACTCCATAGCAGGTACCGCCTTCCTCGTATATCATAGTTGTTACCTTATCCATATTCCCATAGTGTCTGCCTTGTTACTTTATGCAGGTTGTTGTTGTTATGTGCCGTCGAGTCGGCCCCAACTCATAGCCAGCCTCCTTGGGTTTCCGAGGCAATATCACTACGGAAGTAGATTGCCCAGCCTTCCTTCCAAGGAGTGGCTGGTGGGTTTGAACCGCCAGCCTTCTGGTTAGCAGTCAAGTGCCTTAGGCACTATGCTACCAGAGCTCCTTACTTTATGCTTAGTAAGAGTTAAAGGAACATGATTTAACTCATGTTTTCTGAGCTTTAAAGCCAGGTGAGGCCTCATTTCACCTGCCTGCTTAGGAACTCCAGGTACTTCTGAGGTTGGGCTTTATTTGGAAGAGTCAGTGAGGTTCCTGAGCCCTGCTATCTGAATGGCTGGTGTTAGACCCTTATCCTCATCACTGCTTAGAAAAAAGAGGCAGGGAACATCTGCCAGTGCTTTTAGACAGTTTAGCATCCTTATGAAAATCGTGAATATCTCTAATTTTCTAGAGTCCATTATTAATGGGGCTTGGAACAAAGTATTTGCTCAATAAAGGGAAGCTATTTATTATTATTACTATTTATTTAGTGAGTATATCTGCTGCAAAATATCTCTTAAAGTGTTAAAAAGCAAAGATGTCACTTTGAAGACAAAGGTGCACCTGGCCCAAGCCATGGTATTTTCAGTAGCCTCATATGCGTGTGAGAGCTGGACAGTGAATAAGGAAGACTGAAGAAGAACTGGTGCCTTTGAATTATAGTTTTGGAGAAGAATAATGAGTATACCATGGACTGCCAGAAGAATTAACAAATCTGTCTTGGAAGAAGTACGGCCAGAATGCTCCTTAGAAGCAAGGATGGCCAGACTTCATTGGCCAGACTTCATCTCATGTGCTTTGGACACGTTGTCAGGAGGGGCCGGTTGCTGGAGAAGGACACCATGTTTGGGAAAGTAGAGGGCCAGCGAAAAAGAGGAAGACCCTCAACAGGTAGGTATGAGGATGGGCTCAAGCATAGCAGTGATTGTGAAGACGGCGCAGGACTAGGTGGTGTTTCATTGTGTTGTACATGGGGTTGCTGTAAGTTGGAACCAACTCCGTGGCACCTAACAATAACATTTATTATTAACAAAATGCACATACCATCTAAACTATAGACAAATGATAGAAAAATCATAAGCATAAGTATAATCAACTCTTTCTGAGTTTTTCTGTCCATGTTTGTTGACTGATTATTAGAATGGATACCAGAGGTTTAAAAAAAATACAGGGGAAGAAAAGTTTTGAGGAAAGTCTTAGAGCAAATTGGGGGAGAAATCCTCTGTACTGTCCTGTTTTGGGATTTGTACACCAGGACATTTTATGAGAAGTATCATTTGACAGCCATTGTGTGAGTTGACATATGAAACATTAGGCAGAAATCTGTGATTTGAAACAAAAGATGAAGAATTAACTGAGTAACATTTCATACAACTTTGTGCAGAGAGAGAAATAAGATTATCATTTACATTCCAAGGTTATAGTGGTGTAAATTTAGTACATCTCTCAGAAGATGAGGCGCCCTCGTGACGCAGTGACTAAGCACTCAGCTGATAACCAAAACACTGGCAGTTCAAATCCACCAGCTCTCTGCGGGAGGAGGATGTGGCAGTGTTTCCATAAAGATTACAGCCTTGGAAACCCTATTGAGCAGTTCTGCTCTGTCGTATAGGGTCACTATGGGTTGGAATCAACTCAGTGACAATGGTGTGATTATCAGAAGATTTCTTGTTTTTGTTGTTGTTATGTGCCGTCGAGTCGGCCCCGACTCATAGCAATCCCTCCTTGGGTTTCCAAGGCAGTATCACTAAGAAGTAAGATTGCCCAACCTTCCTTCTGAGGAATGGCTGGTAGGTTGCACCACCAGCCTTCTGGTTAGTAGTCAAGTGCCTTAGGTAGACTGCAAAATTGAAAGATTTATTTTAAATTTTAAGTTACAGATTTTTAGTACATATCAAGGAACTCCGTAGTTAAATTCATTGCATAGGTTTAAAACTTTAAATTTTAATACTCTTTTATGTGTGTTGGAAAACTTGGTTGCAAATAACAGAAACATGTTGGCTTGAACTGTAAGTGAGATATTAGTCATGTAACTAAAAGGGGGACAGGCTCTAAAGTCAATCCTGGCTCATCCGGGCTCAGACTCTGGCCAGAAGCAACAGAACTGTAGCAGTTCTAGACTTCACCACTACACATATTAATGTCAAAGGGAGAGAGACACCATTGCTTTTGGTTGCGTTAATTTAAGAGTGAGGACATACGTTGCCCCAGAGCCCTAGCTTTCTTCATCCTGTTACTCTGTTGTCCTGAATTGGGTCATGTGTTCCTTCCCGAGCAAATCCCTTTGATGAATAAATGCCATGTACTGATTGGCACAGGCCTGGGCTCCTTATCTGAGGGGCCACTTTCTCCTGAACACATGAAATAGATTCTAAGCAGAGAGCCAAGTCGGCTCACTGTGCAATAATAGGAATAATCTGGAAATGAAAAGTTGGGACTTTGAGTTACTGCCAGCAGAAACCTAACCTTTAATGGCTTAAGCAAATAAGGATGTTTATTGGTGCTTATTGTGGAAAAGTCCAGAGGTAGGATAGCTGCAGGCCTGGCTGGATTCCAGGCTCAGAGGCTTTTCTGGCTAGTGTTACTATCTCTAGAATCCCAGGAGAGAAAAGAAGGCCTGCCAGTCAGAGGTTACTTGGCATTTTATTTTCTAACTTGAAAATAATCATGTCATTTTATAGTTATACAATGTATGTAGTACATTTTTAACTCATATCAAATGTTTTGACTTTAGCTCTGCATGGTGTGTAGTGAAGTCAGTTTGTACTAGGAATTTCTTAGGTCTGTGGTGGTGCTTTTATGAATTCTTTTTCTTTCTCTTTATTTTGGTCCTATAGATGAAAAAATGTTTAGAACCCTAAAGGAAGAAGGAAATCAATGTGTAAAGGACAAAAACTATACAGATGCCATTAGTAAATACAGTGAGTGCTTAAAGATTACCAGGGAATGTGCCATATATACAAACAGGCAAGTTCTTTGTAACTTGATGCATTACTTATGTTCCTATTTTTTGTTTTTAAAAACAGAAATATTAATTGCCAAAGTTTGCTTTCCATGGTACTGGGAGTTTATATATAGCAAATTGTGCTAACTAAATGAGTGTTTTTCAAAGTGATGGGACCACAGGAATTCTAGAGAGACTGGGAAAAGGAGGTGAGGGAAGAACTGGTGGTGTGATGTATACAGTCCACGTGTTACCAGGTTGCTGCGAGCCACAGTTGCTGCTTTGCCAGTCTTGCTCTGATTGGCATTTCAAGTATGTTGGTACTTCTGTGTCTTTTTTCTTTTTTTGCCTTTGCAGCTAGCTGGGTGGGGCATTGCCCAGTGTGGTAGGAAGAGGAATCAGTTGCCTTTTTCAGAGGCGTGTCTTGGGAGCAGTGCTCTTTTTCTTCCGATGCACTGAAGGAAGGAACCGGCATCTTTTACAGTGTGCACTGGGAACAGGCGGACTGTTGTAAAACTCTAGTCAGGAGCCGTCCTTACCGTCTTTGGTAAAAGATTCCTATGTAGAATATGGTGATGGAAGTGTTTAGGGAGTGGACGGAGTATGGGATAACAAGGAGGAATAAACTCACAACATGAGTTTTCCAGCAATTTCAGATAAATTCTTTCTGCCTCAAGCTCTCGCCACTTTGCTTTTGTACGTATTCTCCTCTATTGACAATCTTTTTGCTAAAAAACTTTTGTTGTCACTGAATCCAACAGACGGATTTTGCCCCCCTCCGGGCCTGTTTAACCTGGGCAGCATTGGGCATTACTGGCCTCCCTGTTTTCCTGAAGCCCCTCGGCCGAGGCTGAGTGGCAGACAGCTGCCTTGGCTGGAGCTGCTCTGCTCCCTCCACAGGCTTGTCCTTCCCTGAGATTCTTGGGCTTAGGGAGGTCTAGGTGCCTTTCTTTCTTTGCTAACTTTCTGAGCCATGTCATCCTCTCCCAACTCTGTATCTTCTGAGCTCCAGGCCAGTACCCTTCCCCACCTTCTGCACTCATTGCTGGTTCTCATTCCCGACTGACACCTCCCTTTAACAGTCAGTCAGCAAACCCTGATTTTCCTAAATATCTCTTCACTGTGACCCTTCCCACCCTCACCGTCTCTCTCCTGCTCTGAGCCACTGTTGTTTCTTCCTGATGCCTGCAACACCCCAACAATGGCCCTGAACTCTCTGTTCCCTCTGGTCTCATTCTCCAAGCTGCAGCTCAGGTGATCTTTCTGAAAAATGTCAGTCTCTGTTTAAAAACCCTTCAGTGGATCTCTGTGAAGCTCAGGATAAAGCTCAACCTCCCTGCCATGACTTATAAGGCCCTTCATGATCTGGAATGCCCACATTTCCAGCCTCATCCCTGCACTCTGGCTGTGGAATTTTCTCAGCTCATTGAGAGAACCACGTTGCCTTCCACCATAAGCCTTTGCTTAGGCTGGCCCCTTACCCTCCACTCTGTGTTCCTCCATCTTAATGCCCCCAACCCAGTGCCTTTACATTGGATACTTCTCACTTCATACTTTGAGTTTTAATTTAAATGTCACTTCTTCCAGGAAGTCTTCCATAATTACTATGGCCCCCACCTTGGTCCCACCAGATCTTACTAGGTTGTCCGTTGTTTGTCCGCTGAGCATTCTGTGCAGTTTTTATTGTGTTTGCTTCTTTTAACTGTCTCCTCTACTCTACTGCCTCCTCTTTAACAGCTAGGACTATATATTTTTTTCTTTATAAAATTTTTATCATGATTTGGGTGAACGTTTACAGGGCAATTTCATTTTCCATATAACAGTCTATACATTTTGTCTCATGACATTGACTGCAATTTCCCACAATGTAACAGCTCTCTTCCCATGTCCTCCCCATAGTTACCTCTTCCCTGTGTCCTTCCCTCCCATGCACTCCTGCCCTCTGAGCTGTCTCCCTGTGCACACACAGCCCTTCTATTGTCCCATGATTGCACTCTCTAAGGGGTATATCTACCTAATATAAATAAATGTTCAACCCATATGCCTGTCTTTTGTTTGGCTGGAAGCCACAGGAGTGGGTTCAATTCCACACCTGAAGGGCAGCTAAGGGCCATAGTCTCAGGGGTTCCATCAGACCAGGAAACCTGGTCTTTTATATATGTATATATATAGTTTTGAGTTTTATTCCACATTGTTCTCCTACTCTATCCAAGATCTCCTACATAGATCCCCCTCCGAGAGGTTGACAGTGGTAGCCAGGCACCATCTAGCTCTTCTAGTCTCATGGTCTTATAGGCTGAGGATCACATGGTCTGCCAGTCCCTTGGACTAACTGTTTCCAGGTGTCTTTTGTTTTGTTCATTCTTCTTTGCTCTGGATGAGGAGAGACCCATCATTGCATCTAGATGGCTGCTTGCAAGCTTTTAAGATCGTAGTCACTACTCACCAAAGGATGTGGAACAATGTTTTTGTATAGTGTGTTACACCAATTGAGCTTGATGTCTAGGATTGTATTTTATTTGTAACTGTATCCCCAGTGCCATAAGTTCATGTATTGCAAGGAAGTGCCATAATTGGTGTAAAACATTATGTTTCAATTGGAACTTCTTTGTTGAGAAACAGACTTACTGAGATACTTTTTCTGAATTTTATTAACTCTCTAAATTTATAGACACACTCTCTTTCCCTTTTATAATCCTGAGTTCCATTGTATTATGCCAGAGCTCTCTGTTACTTGAAGCTGTGTCAGTTTGAAGAGGCAAAGTATGACTGTGACAAGGCTCTTGAGATGGATGACGGGAACGTGAAAGCTTACTATCGACGAGCTCTGGCTCAGAAAGGACTCAAGGTGAGAAGCTCTTCATCTCAATACGTATGCTTCAGCTCTAAACCAGTGAATTGGTTTCCATGAACATAAACCTGGGGGTCATAACATAGGGGAGTGAGCTTATCCTGAGATTTAATCTTGGTTCTATACTAACCAGTCCTGAATTCCTGGGATAGACCTTAGATTTTAATTCTAACTGTAACCTGGTTCCTTCCAGCTCCAAAATTAGGATTTATTGTCTCATTTTATAAGTAATAGATCCAACTTAAGGGATCACAGATACAGTTACTGAAGGCCACCATAAATGCCACCAGGTTCCTTCAGCAAGGATTGGAGGTACAGGTGGGAGGGGGCATCAGAATGGAAGATGGGGACCGCCCAATGGAAATTGGTAGAGACACATGAGAGATTTGGAAGCTCGTGGTGAGCTGGGCCTTCAGCCAGCTGCTAGTCAGTGTAACTGCAGGGTGGCATTCTTTAAGAAAACCACACTATTAGTTTAGAAGAAAGAATTTTTTTTTTCATAATTACATTTTTCCTTATGCTCATTGTTCTGCATGAAACTCTTGATGAAGAATGTTCACCTGTGTAGAAAATAAAGCCACAAGGGAATACCAGAACATATGGGGAAATAGCATTTCCTTAAATGGTATTTTTAAATAGCAGTTTTATTAAGGTCTGATTCAGTGAATAACTGTTCATTGAATTAGACCTTTATAAAATTGCTATGAAGAAGGAGCTCTGGGGCACAGTGCCTAAGGCATTTGACTACTAACCACAAGATCGGCAGTTCAAACCTAGCAGCTTCTCCATGAAAGGAAGATGGGGCAATCTACTTCCAGAAAGATTTACCACGTTGGAAACCCAGTGGGGCTTGGTATGACTCGATGGCAATTGGTTTGGTTGGTTTTTTTAATTCAGTGAAAAGGAGCTCTGGTGGCACAGTGGTTAAAGCATTGGTCTGCTAACCAAAAGGTTGGAAGTTCAAACCCACTGGCTGCTCCATGGGAGAAAGATGAGGTAGTCTGCTTCCGTAGATTTACAGCTTTGGAAACCCTACAGGGTAGTTCTACTCTGTCCTATAGGGTGACTATGACTTGGAATTGACTCAGGCACTGGGTTTGTTTTGGTTTTAATTCAATGAAATTTATACATTAACTTTTGATGAATGTAAATCCCCATGTAGCTAACCCCCCAATCAAGATAAAGAACATTTTTCTCTCTCCAGAAAATTCCCTATATCTCTTGTAATCAGTCTCCCTCCCTCCACCCTTATCCCAGGCAACCACTGATCTAATACCTATCACTGTAGATGAGTTTTGCTTCTTGATGTTACATGAATGTAATTATACAGAATATTCTCTTTGACCTCTTTTGCTCAGCATAATATCTGAGATTATCCATATAATGTGTGTCAGAAATTTGTTCCTTTTATTGTGGAGTTGTATGAATATACCATAATTTGTTTAAACATTCACTAATGGATAACATTTGGATTGTTTCCAACTTCAGTAAAGCTGCTGTGATACTTGTGTGCACATCTTTTTATGGAGTTGTTCATAGACTTTACAGCTGGAGCACAGGTGTAGGTGGGGCTGGGGAGAGAGGGTCATGTCATAGGGGGCATGGACTTCATTCTGAAGATAATGGGAGCCCCTGAAGGGTGGTTAATAGTGCATCGATGGATCAGATTGAAGGCAGCATGGAAGGTGGATCAGAGGGGAGCCTGCGTGCAGTAGGGAGAGAAGTGAGAGGCCACTGAGGTGTGAAACAGACATCTGAAGGAAAGTACAGTCAGAAGGAAGGGAGACGTGAAGAGATTAATTCGCTTTCCCTTCAGGGACAAATTTGTTTGAAGGTAAAGTTGATACGACATAATGAGCAGTAGTATGTGTATCGGGGAAAGGAAGGGCAGGGCTGCCTCCCAGGTTTCTGCCTGGAATGGCCAAGGGTTGAAGGGGAATAGTTCAGATTTTACCTTAGCGAGTCTGAGATGGTACTTTTAATTCCGTCCTTTCATGACGGGGAAATATTTAAAAGTATATTCTACTGCTGACCTAGGTTTTGTTGGGAGGAGGCAGTCATATTTCTGTGTGATGATATCAAGTGAGGACAATCTGTATGCATGGAGTGGTCCTGCTTTGCCAGACCACAGGTCCACTCAGGCTCCATGGAGAGGAGAGCAATGCCAGTGCCTCTCCCCAGGACACAAACGCATTGGATGGTCCCCATGTGACAGGGTCGTACAGCTGCACTGCATTTACAGGGCCCATGTGACCTGACGCCCTTATTTGTTAGCAATGTACACATCTATAAACTTTCTGTAAAGACTTCTGGCTGGTGTGTGGCACCAAGAATATTTTTTAAAGGCGGCTGATTTGGAATTTACTCTAAACTCCTTTTGAGCTGAATCATTTGCATAAATGAGGCCTAGAGCTGCATGACTCATGAGTCGACTGTAAGCCCAAAGTCTGGGACCAGGTTTATGTCCTCCTGGCTGCCTGACTCTTTGACCCTGTTCATCTGATTAAAAGCCAAAAGCTGTCCCTAATGAAAGACCAGAATTTTCTGCTTTCTGGAATGAATTCTAGGAATTGTTTTTTTTTTTTTATTTTTTTTTTTAATTAGGATTTGGGTGAAGATTTACAGAGTAAATTCACTTTTCATACAGCAGTTCACATATACTTTGTCTCATGTCA